ATCTCAAGAGGCACTGTCTTATACGTGGTATTGATTTTTCAGGCATGAAAGATACAAGAGGGAATGGGGTCACGAGGACTTTCACTAAGGTTCCAGAAAGCAAATGAGGCCGGGCAATGGGTAGCAAAGTTGGATTTCCCCCCCAAGAAAGCCTAGGAGACCATTTTTATAAAGCTGGGAATGTGAGGCTTATGTTGAAATGAAGACTCCAAAGGTTTAGAGATGGCCAGGAACATAGGACATCCACCAAGGAAAGATAAAAATCACAGAGGAGAACTGATCCTCTCTCCCCTGACCAAAAAAAGAGTCGGTATGTGCTGTCTGCAGCCCAATTGGAGGAGCAGACAGTGTCTGCCTAGGGCTGTTGGAGCCCAGGTGATTCCACCGTGAGTCCCAGATGGCAGATACGACACTGAATGGTTTGGTGTTTGCCCTGAATGGTTTCGGTTTTGTTCTGGCCTGGCTGTTTCTTACTATCCTCCCAGTCCTGCTGGCATGTGACTGTTTAGTCTCTGCCTGTGTACACTGAAGGCATAGACAGTTTGTTGTTGCTGCTGTTGCTGTTGTTGTTGTTCACAGGCAATCATAGTTAAGATGTTCTTTTGAGTTTCAGAATAGATTTTCTGAACAGTGTTGGAACTGTTAAGTCTAGAAAGACATTTAGAGATGAATTTAATGTATTTTGCATTAAGATGGAAATTAGACTTTGGGAGCCAGGAGTGGAATGTTATGATTTAAGTGATATAGTTGGATGTTGAATTAGAAAGACATATTTGATGGTTATCTTCACTGCCAACTTGATTGAATTTACCATCACCTCTGGGCATGTCTGTAAGAATGTTTCCAGAAGGTTTTCACTGAAAGGGGAAGACCCACCATCAATGTGGGCAACACTTCATCATGAGGTAGTGTCCTAGACTGAATTACAAGGAGAAATTAATAAGACCATTATCCATCTTTCTCTACTTCCTGACTGTGAAAACAATGTGAACTATTCTTTCATGCCCTGACACCATCCTTCCCCACGATGACGGACCACACCCTCAAACTATAAGTCAAAACAAACCTATTATACCTTAAGTTGCTTATCAGATATTTTGTCACAATAATAAGAAAAGTAATACAGAGCCCATCCCTTAACTGAATTAAAATAATAAACCCCTCAATATGTCTGCTTTGCATCTATTTGAATGACATGTCACCTGCAGTCTCAGGCTGTGGACTGCTTCATTCCCAGCTGATGGCACTGTTTGGGGAGGCTTAGGAGGTGTGGCTTTCCTGGAGGAAGTGTGTCACTGGAGGTGGGCTTTGAGAATGTAAAGTCTCTCATCATTCCAGGTTTGCTGTCTCTGCCTTCTGTTTGTGGTTCAGGATATGAGACCTCAGCTTACCACTCCAGCTGCCATGCCTGTCTGCTGCCACACTTCCATTATGGTGATGGCCTCTTACCCCTCTGGAACCACAAGCCCAAATAAACTCTTCCTTCTATTATAAGTTGCCTTGGTCATGGTGTTTTACCACAGCAAAGTGACTTGATGAGCAATCAACATCCAGAGCAGCTTTATACATAATAGCACAAACTAGAAA